TAAGGTGCCCTGTAGCTCCTTCTGAAGGGCCCGGCAAGAATCATAAATACGGAAGCCCAAGGTGATGTTGGGGAGGATTCTCGGATCCCTGTTTATCTCCTTCACTGTGTACTTAAAGGTCTTCAGCTGTAAATATTTATCCAGGAAAAAACTAAGAAGAAACATTGTTATTTTATATATTACAAAATGTTGACAATATAATGTTGACAATAATTTTGACAATGTAAAAAAAAAACCCCATTATATTATTTTTAGAAAATGTAAGCACTTCAGGGCCGGCATGTTAAACCCCCATCATTACCCGGCAATCTTTCAGTTTTCAGCGCTTGCGCTGGTCCAGTGGGAGGAGCTCCAGGTGGGGTCCTAATTTAGCTGGCCGGCGACTGCCAGAGGATTCCGACACGCGCGGCACCTCAGGCAGTCGCCGGCCAGCTAAATTAGGACCCCACCTGGAGCTCCTCCCACCGGACCAGCGCTGACTCGCCGCTGCTCTCCCGCGCCGCTCGCCGCTGCTCTCCCGCACCGAAACTTGTCATTTTCAATTTAATTGGTTGTTTTTGTCAAACAATCGGATTCACTCAATTTGATTAAAAACCGTGACTAAACAATATTTACTTTGCCAAAGTAAAGCACTGTGTATCATAAACAATTGTCCTTTGTTCAATGCTGTTGTCTTCTGGGTTTCCTAATAGTGACAACAATGGGCCATGTCTGTGCAATAGGCGTTGGCACAGTCATGTGTGGTCTTCTTTGTGAAAGTGCTTGACACCGTGACAATGCAGAAGCAAATGAGCAAACTGTGTGACCAGGAGGCAGGTAAAGAGAATAGAATTCTGGGTGTGCATCACTAGAGGGATCACTAGCAGGTGGAAGCAGGTCCTGATTCCTCTATATAGATCTTTATTATCACTAGAGAGATCCCCAGCAGGAGGAAGGAGGTCCTGATTCCTCTATATAGATCTTTATTATCACTAGAGAGATCCCCAGCAGGAGGAAGGAGGTCCTGATTCCTCTATATAGATCTTTATTATCACTAGAGGGATCTCCAGCAGGAGGAAGGAGGTCCTGATTCCTCTATATAGATCTTTATTATCACTAGAGGGATCTCCAGCAGGAGGAAGGAGGTCTTGATTCCTCTATATAGATCTTTATTATCACTAGAGAGATCACCAGCATGAGGGAGGGGCTCCTGATTCTGCTTTATAGAGCTTTAGTTATCACTGAAGGGATCCCTAGCAGGAGGAAGGAGGTCCTGATTCCTCTGTATACATCTTTAGTTATCATTAGAGAGATCACCAGCAGGAGGAAGGAGGTCCAGATTCCTCTACTGTACTGTATATATAGAACTTAAGTTAGACCTCATTTCAAATAATGATGTATTTCTAATGTTCACCTCAAAACAGTATGAAATGACCTTCTACAGTGGTATGATATTTGTGTAATGTTGTTGCATGGTTGTTGCTACATGTCTCACATGGCATTGCCCAGCGTCCCATGACTTTTCTGACAGTAGTTTGCCTATAGGTGCTAAAAATGGGCAAATGTTACAATATCATTCCCCCCCATGCCCATAGAGTTTAATGGATTCACCTCTAAATTCTAGGATGGGGTGAGAGCGGTAGTCCAGATCTCCAGTGTGCTGTCAGCACAGGGCAGCTTGATATATTCTTCTTCATTAGGAAAAATATATTCTTTATTTTTTGCAGCCTGACTGCATAGCAATAGTAAAAATAAATATATGGCTTGAATTGCACTTTACCCACTAGGCCCAAACAAAAGTAAAACATTAACCCCAGCAATACTGTATATTTTCCTTTATACCTAAAAAGATCATTGCAAGGCAACAGGCAAATACTATCACAGCATACCTCATCGTGCAATCTGTCAGATGAATGTGCGATCAGATGGACATTGCAAATCAATACTCCTAATATATATACATGTAGATGTACAGTATTCCCATCTGATATATTAATAGAAGTATACCATAGGGATCAGAGAAACCTTGTTTATAGGCAGCCTGATAGTAAACGGTGTTCTTGGGTGGAAAAGGTTAATTATAGAAAGTTGCTGCTGGACACGTCCGGTGGGCTTTCTGTTCCTAGAGAATGGAGCTAATTCCTCCCAATTATCTGCAACAACACAGCTGATTTCAGCCTAAGGGATATGTATCATATAGTCCATTGTTGTCTGCAGTGTGTCTATGTATGAAATGTATATCAAAGCTTCTCAGCTTGATTTGATATACAAAAATCTAATGCTGTTGAATGTATCAATATGAGGATTGAATATTAATAATCACAAATAACCACACAATCATTTATACTGTAGGTATATATGTTATAGCGATGATAGATAGATAGACAGACACAGTGGCGGAACTACATTGGGGGGGGGGGGCGGGGGGCCAGTCTGATAAAATCTTGCACCAGGGCCCTTTGGTTAATAGTTCCGCCACTGGATAGACATTACACAACTATCTTTGTATAACAGCAACATTTGCTACGGATGAGTATTAAATGACAGGGGATCTCAGCCCTATGCAGTAGTAGCTTTTGGCACAAAAAGCTTTAAAGATAAAACCAAGAGAATATGTATCATATAGTCCATTGTTGTCTGCAGTGTATCTATGTATGAAATATACACTGTGTGCACAATTATTAGGCAAGTTGTATTTTCGAGGATTCATTTAATTGTTGAACAGCTACAGAGCTCTCGGTCAACCCAAAATGTTAATAAACCTCAAAGCTGAACATTTAAGAACGTCAAATTGAGGTTTTGGCTTTCTAAGGAGAACATGAGCACAATTATTGGGCAACTATTAGTGTGCAGGATTATTATGCAACTAAATGGAAAACTAACAATTGTCTGTCTCACTTTTTTTATTTTCATCTGTTAAAGTGGGAATAATAAACAAATAACTCAAAATTTACACAAAAAAAATTTCTGACATTTTCAAAAACAGAATCAGTGACCAATATAGCCAATAACAATCATCAGCCTTCCATCCATGGAGTCTGCCAGTTTCTTCATCTGTTGACGATCAACTTTATGTGCAGCAGCAACCACGGCCTCCCAGACACTGCTCAGAGAGGTGCACTGTTTTCCTTTACCGTAAATCTCCCATTTAAGAAGGGCCCACAAGTTCTCAATCGGGTTTAGGTCAGGTGAGGAAGGCGGCCATATCATTATTCTTTCATCTTTAAGGCCTTGACTGGCTAGCCACACAGTGAAGGATTTTGATGCATGTGATGAAGCAAACTGGCAGAAGGTACCAGTACCCCACCTCCACCTTGCTGGAGTCTGAGTTGAAGTGGAGCTCTGTGCTCGTTACTGATCCAGCCACGGGCCCATCCATCTGGTCCGTCAAGAGTCACTCATCTCATCAGTCCATAAAACCTTTGTAAGATCCGTCTTCAGATATTTCTTGGCCCAGTCCTGACGTTTGTTCAGTGGTGGTCGGGTTTCAGCCTTCCTTATCTCGGCCATGTCTCTGAGCACTGAACACCTTGTACTTCTGGGCGCTCCAGGTAGGTTGCAGTTCTGGAATATGATAGCGCTGGAGGATAATGGGTTCCAGGGAGGTTCAAGTTTGATTCTTCTCAAGTCTTTGGCAGTTAATTTGCATCTTTCTTTCTAAACACTTTTCTTGCGACCCTGTAGACTATTTGCAACACTGACACCATAGGCTGACAGCCCAGAAACAGGGAGCATATCGAAAATCCGGCACGGATTTCCGGATATTGTGACACAAAGTTTGAGGGTTTTGTGATCACTCCCCAATATCTGAGCAATTTTAAGAGTGCTGCATCCCTCTGAAAGACTTTTTGCAATTTTTGACTTTTTGGAGTTAGCTAAATCCCTTTTTTGGCCCGTGTTGCCTGAGGAAAGGAAGCTGCCTAATTATTATGCACACCGCGATGTTGGGTTTTGATCTCCTTAGGACACACCCTCCCTCATTACACAAATACACATCACCTGATATGCTTAAATCCATTAAGCCTTCAAGTTTATACCGCTTGGAGTTGGATAATATGTATAAAAAATGGTGAATTGGTCAAAATACTCACTTGCCTTATAATTGTGCACACAGTGTATATCAAATCTTCTCAGATTGATTTTATATACAACAATCTAATGCTGTTGAATGTGTCAATATGATGAGTGATTATTAATAATCACACAATCATTTATACTGTAGGTATATAAATTACAGAAATTATAGATAGATAGATAGATAGATAGATAGATAGATAGATAGATAGATAGATAGATAGATAGATAGATAGATAGATAGATAGTGTTGGAGGATCTACAGCCGAGTGATACATAAGATACATTGTTGTTTCTGGTCTTACTAAGGTACCTGATTGCATGAACTTAGTGTCACTTTAACTTAAACCCGAACAGAGAATTGACTCTTAAACACCATACTTACTTACACTATTAGATGCTGAAATGTTAGTTTTTCTGCACTTAAATGTACAAACGCTTAGATATACTCACAGAACAAAACACAAGTTTACTAAATCTGTGCCCCAGGGTGGAAAGATATTGATTTTGAGTTTGGATTTGCCTTTTATATTCTTTTTGCAGGAAAAAAAGCCTTTTATTTTCAGATTATGAAGAAGAGAATGTCGTCATTTGATTTGGAGCTTTACCTTCTCATATTATTATTATTATACAGGATTTAAATAGCACCAACAGTTTGCGCAGCGCTTTACAATATAAGTAAGACATTACAATCACAATACAATTCAAGACAAGATGGTAAGGAGGACCCTGCCCCTGAGGGCTTACAATCTAAAATGGAGGGGCAAGTGGAGATGCTTTTCCATCTAAACGTAAATAACTAAACAATGCAAAAATAATTATACATTGCAATAAGGACATCGTTTTTATTGTATTGGTTAATACTGTTGAAATGACAAGTATTCCACAGATTCAAAATGAGAAAAGTTAAATGTTGGGAAAAGAATATTGAATATAATCTGTGAATTTTATTTCCTTTTTCCAAATCTCTTAATGAGATGTTTTTTGGAGTTTACATTGGGACGGAGTAAAATGATATAACATTTTGGAACAAACATGCAACCAAGCATCGCCCAGGTAGAGGACAAGATAGCAAAAATCTCTGTGGCTACTGTGTACTTGGTGGTAATGGAAAGGTGGGCTGGTATGAAGGTCAGCCAAACACTAAGGAAAGCCAACATGCTGAAGGTGATATATTTGGCTTCATTAAAGTTATCCGGAAGCTGCCTAGCCAAGAAAGCGACTAGAAAACTGAATATAGCTAAAACACCAAGATAGCCCAAAGTACACCAAAAGGCGATCAATGATCCCTCGTTGCATTCAAGAATAAGAATTTCAGGTTCGGTTTTATTGTTGTATTGGGGGTATGGTGGGAAGAATAAAAGCCAAAAGGTACAAATAAGAGACTGCACAAAAGTTCCTAAACTGATAACTTTGTAGGAAAAACTTGGATTAGCCAATTTTCTAAAGTTGCTGTTTGGTTTGGTGGCTCTAAATGCGATCATAACCATCAGGGTTTTGGCCAATACACACGACACACAAAGGGCAAAAACCATCCCAAAGGCTACCTGCCGTAGAAGACACTTTTGGCGTTGAGGATAACCAATGAAGGCCAAGGAGCACAAGAAGCAAAGGGAAAGGGAGATCAGAAGCAGACAACTGATGTTATAATTGTTGGCACGGACAACAGGAGTCGTTTTATAATGAATAAAAAGCCATAAAATGGCTAAAGGGACAAAGGATGATGTAACGCTGGTACATGCTAATGTGATTCCCAATGGCTCTTCGAACTTGAGATATTCAATGGGTTTTGGCAAGCATCTGTCATTTTCTGGACTTGGCCATTCATTCCATGGGCATTTAAAGCATTCAGCAGAGTCTAAAAAAATAATACAATTAAAAGTGCACTGTCTTGAAACAGCAGTTCTCTATAAAGCTTTATATACTATTTGGCCAAAAGGTTGTGGACACCTGACCATCACACCCAGATGAACTTGCTGCACATCCCATTCAAAAAAAACATGGACATTAGTTTGGGGTTGTTCCCTTTCTTTATGAATTTTCCAGCCTCCACTCCTCTTGGAGGGCTTTCCACAAGATTTAGGAGTGTGTCTCTGGGTGTTTCTGTCCATTCACTCAAAGAACATTTGTAAGCTCAGGTACTGATGTTGAACAAGAAGTTTATAATCAACAAGATTATAATCAGTATTCCAATTCATCCAAAAGTGTTCAGTAGGGTTGAGGTCAAAACTCAGTTCAGGCCACTTGAGTTCCAACAAAACCAAACTTATTAACTCATTCCTTTAGGGAACTGGCTTTGTACACAGGGGCACAGACATGCAGGAACAGAAAAGGGCCTTCAAAAACTCTTATCACAAGGCTGAAGGCGCAAAATGATCTAAAATGCCTTTGTATACTGTAACATTAACAGTACCTTTCACTGGAAGCACCTGAACTCAATCACTTGGAGAAGTGTCCATATACAGTACGTTTGGCCACATAATGTCAGGGTGATGATCAGTTATGCACAAACTTTTGCCCATATGGTGTCTCTTTTACCGACTTACTGGTCTTATTGGAAAACTCTCCATGTGAACAGGGGGTACACTGGAAGCAACAACTTGGTTCTCCTTTAATGAATGCCATTCTGAAACCAGATGGACAATTCTCACTGCAAACTGAAACTGGCACCTGGGAAAGGAATTAACATAAAAACAAAACAACTGCCAAGTATCCATTATCTTGTTTCCATTTTGGGTATATAACGGGGCATTGAATCCCTCAGAAGTTTCTAATTTATACTGCATGGTAGGTGAATCATGGGTAAGACCATTGATAAATAGGCCCTTTGGTGTGCCTTACACTTTCTAATTTATATATAGAGAGAAGCAGAGCCTATCTCCTTTCAGGTACAGTGTCCTTTAGTGAAACATCGGATACAGCCATAGGCAGGGCCGGATTAAGAGCATCATGGGCCTTGTGCTGTCGGTTAGCTAGGAAGCAGAAGAGGCAGCTCTCTAATTAGGCAGCTACTCACCCTTTGCTGGAGCCCTGTGAGGCCCAATCATGCAGCTGCATAATATGCCTAATTAGAGAGCCACCAGTACCCCTGTCTGATTGTGTTCAGCCCATAGGGGATACCGTGGCAACCCAGCCAAACCTGTCCTATTTTCAGTGGTGGACCTGGAGCTGGCGCTCCAGTAGCCCCTATGTTAATCCAACCATGGCCATAGGGAGGGAATGGTGGGAAGGGGGAGGAGTGTTCGGCAGGCTGTTCTCCCCTCTTTGGCTGTCATGTATATGCCTTCAGCTTGGTTGAACCGCTCAGCAGCTTTCGGCTGCTGTACAGGCTATTGTGAATAGCCCGCATAGCAGCCCTTCGATTCAACTGAACCGAAGGGCAGAGACAGCCGAAGAGAGCCGAAGGATCAGCTGAAGCTACGGCTGGATCCTTCGGCTCTTTAGTGAATAACCCCCTTAGTGTTTGTAAAGGGAAAAACATGAAGACGTACTGCATATATACACATACAACAATACAATTGTGAAAGTCTAATTGAAAAATAAGACACAGTCATAAAGCCAAAAAAATCAAAAAGAAAAAAAAATCAGTGTACTGTTTTCAAATTCACTTCTCACTTAGTCAGGAGCCCATACAAGTATCCCATCCCTGACACTGCTAGGAGGAATTCAATTTCTGGATGCGAGAATGAGAAACAGATTTCATTCTGAAAATGTTAAGCATAAAATGCACGCAATCTTACCACTGGACTACCTGAAGACCATTGAAAAGTACTTGTGTTGATTGCCAGTGTGTGATTGCCAACAGATGAACTTCGATAACTTCCCACTTTGATCTGTCTCATAACTCCATCTTGGCCTTGTTGCCAGTTTACAATGTCGTACACAGGAGGAGGGTCCCCATTGTAATCAAAGAACAGTTCAGCTCCATCGCTCAGGTTCACCCGAACATTCTTTATGTAGTGTAGCATCTGCAGAAGGCAGGAAAAGGGATTTTCTGTATTAAAGGGAATTTTGGGGAAATCTGGAAATTCTCTTTTCATTCAGAGACCACCAGCAACATGGGAATACTCTCAATATGAAGAGCTACTATAGGGTGGGTCACAGAAAAAAAGTTGTATACAATATGGCCAAAAGTTGAAGGACACCTGGCTAGCGCACCTTTTTGAAAATTCTGAACATCCCATTCTAACACTATAGCCATAAATATGGAGTTGCCCCCACCCCTCGCAGTTATAACAGCCCCCACTCCCTTTAGAAGGTATTCCACAAGATTTTGAAGTGTGTTTGTGGGAATTGTGTTTATTTATTCACAAGAGGACGTGTGAAGTCAAGAACTGATGGTGGATGAGAAGTCATCATTCCAATGTAACTAGACTTGTGCGCCGTCAAAAAATTTGTTCCGTTTCGTTTCTGTCAGGATCCAGAGCACCCCCAGGTGGCGCTGGAGCCGGGTCCTGCAGTTCCTGTGCTCGCCTGCGGGTGTCTCCAGCAGCCAGGAAATGTAAGGAACCTGCAGCTCCGGTACTCACCTGCGGGTGTGCCCCAGCTGTGAATGCTCATCCCATCACCTGGTGCTTCCTGGGAGGGTATTTAGGCCCTCCCTGCAGTCAGGAAGCTGGGTCAGTATTGTGTTGCTAACCTGACTGATGCCCATGTCCTGAACCTTGCTCCCTGAACCTTGCGGCCTATCTGAAAACCTGTCACCGACCCAGCTTGTTACCCGACCACTCTCCGTTGAATCCTGTACCGCGCTGTCCTCCTGTTGTTGACCCGGCTTGCACCTGACAACTCTTCATCAATCCTGTTCCTGTACCGTGCTGCCCTCCTGTTAACGACTCGGCTTGTACCTGACCACTCTTCTGGTATCCCAAGGCCTGCTGTACATCTGCAGGCCTGTTACCCCTCTTTGTTGGGTTTGTAGTTTTGTTGATGTGGAACCAATAAACTGTGCATATAACCCTATCCTGTGTGGGCATATTAATTTGGTCATCCTGTGTGGGTACCTGCATGTGGTGTGAGAACTCCTGTGCAGGGTACCCTGACAGTTTCGTTCCGTTTTGTAATATCCATTATTTCGTATTTCGTAATTCGTATAACGAAATACGGATTTTCGTTAGTTTCGGCACATTTTCGTAACTTTACGAACATTCGTTATGATGAAATTAAAAAGCAAAAATACCTTTGTTAATATTGGAGTCTATGTGGTAGTTGTTTTTGTATCAGAAATACGAATTCCGTTAACGGATTCCGTATTCGAATTTCGTATTTCGGACTTTAAAAAAAACTACCATCAACTCCAATATAAATGTAATTTGCTTTTTACCTTCAATATAACGAATGTTCGTAACTGAACGAAAATACGTCAACGGAATTTCGTATTTCCTGCCTGTATATTGTAATGCAACCCTCAGCAGCAGCAGATCCGTATTTCGGATTAAAAAAAAAATCTTGTCATGTTGTTCAACCTCATTTACAGGGGTAATATTAGTTCCTGTTTCAAAGAAATTCGGATCCGAAATTTGTTAACGGAATTTCGTATTTCGGACATAAATTCGGAAACTGCCATTCGGATTTCGTATGCTTACGAATCTACGAATTTCAGGAAAATTCGTACGCATTTCGATTAGTAACGAAACGAATCGCACATGTCTAAATGTAACCCAAAGATGTTCAACAGCGTTGAGGTCTGTGAAGGCCACTAGAGTTCTTCTACACCAAATTCATTAAACTTTTGTTTTGTGAAGCTGGTTTTCATGCACAGGACACAGGCAGGAACAGAAAAGGGTCCTTCTCAAATGGTTAACATAAGGTTGGGAGCACACAATTATGTAAACTGTCTTTGCTGTAGTATTAGCATGACCCTTCATTGAAAACTTCTGAACTTGATCATTTGGAGGGTATTCTCATACTTTTGACCCTAAGGAGTAGGAGCTTAATTAAGCTTGTCTGCACTGTGCTGGCAGACTTTATTCATCAGTTGTAAATGGAATTGAACACTGTCTGTCCTAACAAAGGGTTAAAGTCCTGGAAGCACTGTATGGTAATGAGAGGACGCTCAGGGTGTCCCTTGTCTTTCTTAGGGGAAAGACTACTTTTTTAAATTGTTCAGAATAGCTAATGGTCTCTGCAGAAAGGCCTGCTTCAAAGAAGCATCTAAAAGATATATATCTATCTATATATCAAACTGGAGATATACCCCACTATATGTTTGTTATGTGTTTCCATTCACACAATATACCAAAATATATATATATTTATATATATATTTTTGTAGTAATTAACTTCAAGTTCTTTATCAAAGATATAGTTCAAGTCTTACCTGCCAGGGTCTGAAGTTCCTGAGTCCCGAGCAGCTTCTATTTATAAAAGGTCCATTTCCTTTTTTGCACATAGAAAGGTCATGTAAAGCCTGAGCTATGACCTTCACAGCACAGTAGAGGTAGTACATCCATCTTAGATTGGTTACATTACTCAAAACAACCCTAAAGTTTTTAATTTTCTCTTCTAGTGTGCAGGCCCTTGGGGGCTTTTCTCTTTGAAATGTAACGTTTTGGAATTCTTTGAATTCGCAACCAATGTTGTCCTCCAAGATCATATTGTCCCATGGGTCTACTGACTCATTAAAGAACTTAATTCTGTTGAACAATTCCTGAAACCCTTCAAAATAGTCACTGTGAAGGGCAAAGCCTACAGTACCTAGGAGAAGGTTCCAGAATTTTTCATTTAGTAAGATAGAAGATGTAGCCCACGCTTCGCTGGCGACCCAAGTCTTTCCTGTAACATTTTGCTTGATTAGGTCATTAAATAAGAAATTCAACTCAGCCTCAGGTGCGAATATGACCACAGCTTTGGCCGTCGATTTCCTGATAGTCTGAATGATGTGAGGCATGTTACGATCTGGACGGCTGCTCTGCATGTAGACAATGAACTCCACGCACACTCCAAATTTGTGGATATTTTGTTGAAGGATCCTAATGCCATGAAATCCATAGTCATTGTCAAAAGCGATCAAACCCACCCATGTCCACCCAAAATGCAACACAAGGTGGGCCAGTCCTTGTGACTGAAATACATCACTGGGCACCGTCCGGAAGAAGGATGGAAATTGTGTCCTATCGCTTAGAAGATGACTTGTTGAAAGGTAACTGATCTGTGCAAAGATAATCAAATTTAGTAAAGGTAGCAAAACTATATATATTTATTATTTCTATATGTTCAAATATTTGTGTAAATCCCATTTAAACTCTTAGTTTATATCAGAGTAGAAAAGCCTGTCCCCTGCCAGCAGCTGCAGAGACAAACCCTTGCTCTTTGTGGGGAATCAGAGGCCTGACTAATTATCTTTATAGCTCAACAATCATCAAAGCTCATGCTCCCTGCTCATAGCTCATCGATCATCAAAGCTCATGCTTCGTGCTCATAGCTCGGAAATCATCAAAGCTCATGTTCCATGCTCATAGCTCATCGATCATCAAAGCTCATGCTCCCTGCTCATAGCTCAGCAATCATCAAAGCTCATGCTCCCTGCTCATAGCTCAGCAATCAGCAAAGCTCATGCTCCCTGCTCATAGCTCAGCAACCATTAAAGCTCCTGCTCCCTGCTCATAGCTCAGCAATCATTAAAGCTCATGCTTCGTGCATATAGCTCATCGATCATTAAAGCTCATGCTCCCTGCTCATAGCTCAGCAATCATCAAAGCTCATGCTCCCTGCTCATAGCTCGGCAGTCATCAAAGCGCATGATCCCTGCTCATAGCTCAGCAATCATCAAAGCTCATTCTCTCTGCTCATAGCTCAGCAATCATCAAAGCTCATTCTCTCTGCTCATAGCTCAGCAATCATCAAAGCTCATTCTTCCTGCTCATAGCTCAGCAATCATCAAAGCTCATTCTCTCTGCTCATAGCTCAGCAATCATCAAAGCTCATTCTCTCTGCTCATAGCTCAGCAATCATCAAAGCTCATTCTCTCTGCTCATAGCTCAGCAATCATCAAAGCTCATGCTCCCTGCTCATAGCTCATCGATCATCAAAGCTCATGCTCCTTGCTCATAGCTCAGCAATCATCAAAGCTCATGCTCCCTGCTCATAGCTCATCGATCATCAAAGCTCATGCTCCGTGCTCATAGCTCGGCAATCATCAAAGCTCATGCTCCCTGCTCATAGCTCGGCAATCATCAAAGCTCATGCTCCGTGCTCATAGCTCATCGATCATCAAAGCTCATGCTCCCTGCTCATAGCTCAGCAATCATCAAAGCTCATGCTCCGTGCTCATAGCTCATCGATCATCAAAGCTCATGCTCCCTGCTCATAGCTCAGCAATCATCAAAGCTCATGCTCCGTGCTCATAGCTCATCGATCATCAAAGCTCATGCTCCCTGCTCATAGCTCATCAATCATCAAAGCTCATGCTCCCTGCTCATAGCTCAGCAATCATCAAAGCTCATGCTCCATGCTCATAGCTCATCGATCATCAAAGCTCATGCTCTCTGCTCATAGCTCAGCAATCATCAAAGCTCATTCTCTCTGCTCATAGCTCAGCAATCATCAAAGCTCATTCTCTCTGCTCATAGCTCAGCAATCATCAAAGCTCATTCTCTCTGCTCATAGCTCAGCAATCATCAAAGCTCATTCTCTCTGCTCATAGCTCAGCAATCATCAAAGCTCATTCTCTCTGCTCATAGCTCAGCAATCATCAAAGCTCATTCTCTCTGCTCATAGCTCAGCAATCATCAAAGCTCATTCTCTCTGCTCATAGCTCAGCAATCATCAAAGCTCATTCTCTCTGCTCATAGCTCAGCAATCATCAAAGCTCATTCTCTCTGCTCATAGCTCAGCAATCATCAAAGCTCATTCTCTCTGCTCATAGCTCATCGATCATCAAAGCTCATTCTCTCTGCTCATAGCTCAGCAATCATCAAAGCTCATGCTCCTTGCTCATAGCTCAGCAATCATCAAAGCTCATGCTCCATGCTCATAGCTCATCGATCATCAAAGCTCATTCTCTCTGCTCATAGCTCAGCAATCATCAAAGCTCATGCTCCCTGCTCATAGCTCAGCAATCATCAAAGCTCATGCTCCATGCTCATAGCTCATCGATCATCAAAGCTCATGCTCCTTGCTCATAGCTCGGAAATCATCAAAGCTCATGTTCCATGCTCATAGCTCATCGATCATCAAAGCTCATGCTCCCTGCTCATAGCTCAGCAATCATCAAAGCTCATGCTCATAGCTCATCGATCATCAAAGCTCATGCTCCTTGCTCATAGCTCAGCAATCATCAAAGATCATTCTCTCTGCTCATAGCTCATCGATCATCAAAGCTCATGCTCCTTGCTCATAGCTCGGCAATCATCAAAGCTCATGCTCCCTGCTCATAGCTCGGCAATCATCAAAGCTCATGCTCCCTGCTCATAGCTCATCGATCATCAAAGCTCATGCTCCCTGCTCATAGCTCGGCAATCATCAAAGCTCTTGCTCCCTGCTCATAGCTCATCGATCATCAAAGCTCATGCTTCGTGCTCATAGCTCGGCAATCATCAAAGCTCTTGCTCCCTGCTCATAGCTCGGCAATCATCAAAGCTCATGCTTCGTGCTCATAGCTCATCGATCATCAAATCTCATGCTCCGTGCTCATAGCTCATCGATCATCAAAGCTCATGCTCCCTGCTCATAGCTCAGCAATCATTAAAGCTCATGCTCCCTGCTCATAGCTCATCGATCATCAAAGCTCATGCTCCCTGCTCATAGCTCATCGATCATCAAAGCTCATGCTCCCTCCCAGAAGTTGGTTGGGGATATGGTGCAATAATTGAAACAAGTTTACAATAAAATTGTTTAGGTATACAGATGGTCAGTCTTCTGTAATGTCTTTCAGCTTGTGCAGTACTGCTGTGTGCACAGCCAATCTTCTTTCCTTTTGTCATATTAGGGACCATTGTAATCTGTTTATAATAGATGAAATATGAGACCACAATCTAGTTGAACTATTTTCTATCGATGGGTTGCTCTGGGGAAACATCAAATATTTCGAATAACATACTTGTGGATATCTGCTCAGGCCTAAGATGTGAGCCATGAGGATGGAGTAGGTAGAGGTTGAGTGTCCAATGATGGCAGCCAGCCGCTCCTTCTGTTGGCACTGGAAGTTGGGTATGGCTTTGTTCTGCCCAGACAACATGCATAAAGTTCCCTGCAGCTCCATCTGAAGGGCCCGGCAGGAATCATAAACACGGAAGCCCAGCGTGATGTTGGAGAGGATTCTCGGATTGCCGTTTATCTCCTTCAATGCGTACCTAAAGGTCTGTAGCTGTAAATATCTATTCAGGTAAAAACTAAGAGGAAACATTGTGATTTCATGTTACAAAATATTTACCACACAAAAAAATGTATAATTTTTATATTTTATGTTATATTTTATATATGTAAAAAAAAAAGCCAATAAAATTAAGAAGAAAACGTTCAAAAAAAAAATGTGTAATCTGCCATTGCTGAGTTTCTCAACCACTTCAGGACCGGGATGTTAAATCCCCTTCATTATCCGGCCATTTTTCAGTTTTAGGCACTGTGATAGTTTGACTGACAATTACTCGCTCATGCCACACTGTCCCCAAATGAATTTTTTTAAATTTATTTGAGACAGAGCTTCTTTTGGTGATATTTAATAACCATTTTTTTTTGCTATATACAGGAGAACATAGCACATAAATATGCCAGGACAGTATGAAACACCCCAAATGACCCGTTTTTGGAAAGTAGACAACCCAAGGTGATCGATCAGATCCTTTTTTTTGCCACAATTTTTTGGAAATAAAAAACATAATAGTAGTGAGGGGGTTAAAACATGGAGCTTGGTAATGGTGCACTAGATACATTAAATGTACAGGCAGGGGCGTAACTAGAAATCACAGGGCCCCATAGCAAAATTTTGTATGGGGCCCTGTGATTTCTAGTTACACCCCTTGAAGAGCCCACATAGCTCACCTGAGGGTGACCCTGCAGAGCCCACCATAGACGCCCTATGGTGGGCTCTGCGGGGTCACCCTCAGGTGGGCTGGTC